GGAGGTAACCTGGCTGTGGAGTGCTGCCAGCACCCTCGCTCGGTCAGCGCGGTTTGTTTGCTGGCCTCTCCTACGAGCGCTGTTATCAAGCTGTCGGTTTGCAGCTGGATTTTCTTCCCAGCCCGTGTCAGGCTGCGTCTCACAGCCCGTTTCCCCCCCGTGTCCCCAGGTAACGTTGTGGACAGCCAGTCCCCCCGGCTGTTGGCAAATCAGCTGAGATGGGACCTGACTGCCGAGCAGATTGAGAGCATGGCTGTGGAGCTGACGGAGAGAACCAAGCTTGTGTACGACCGGGTGGGCTCCCAGGAGCAGGGCGAGGTGTCCTATGAAAACACCCTCAAGGCACTGGCAGATGTGGAAGTGGAATATACGGGTAGGTACAGCAAGAGGGACTGCTGGCTTTCTGTAAATCAGCCTGTTGTTGATAAGATTTAGTTGATGGTTTTTTTTCCGCTAAACTGTCATCTCCGTGTTCCTTCCCTTGGCTCCCTCAGCAGCGTTGTGGGTTTTTTCCAATTACTGTTTCTACAGCCAGACAGGAGTACAAAGAGCAGAGCAGATTTGGAACGGAAGAGCAGTCTAAAACGAGGACGGTGCTTTGGCAGCAGGATGGTCTGCGGGAGCAGTAGCTGGGTTTTTGAGGTTGTCTCCTGCTTTTATGTGTCAAGGTGCATTAGTGGGAACAAACCGTGTGTCGGCAGAAAGGCTTCGGATGATCTAAGAAACCTTCAGCTCTCTTCTAACTTCTCCCCCGAGGCAGTGGATAAAGGTCCCTCAGTGTGTCTTGTTTAAACCCTGCTGTCGTTTAGGGATTATCTGTAAAGTAACACGACATGATGGCATCGTGCTGGCAGACGACGCAGCCTTTGATATGTCTCTGGCTAATTATTTACAGCAGCAGAGTGCCAGAGTCCCGCAGCCCCCCTCCTGCCTCACGGCGTCTGTGGGCTATCCTGCCCGCCTGTGTCCGCAGGAAGCAGGAGCCAGCCTGCCAGCCTCTTCTTTCTTCTGTCTGGTTTCTTTTTCCTAAAATAAGAGGAAAAGCCCTTACTAAGCAGGGGTAACGTTAACTTCAGCAGAACTGTCAGCACTTTCCCTGGGCCACAGAGAGGAGCTGCCTGCTCACCTTCTGCTGGGGGGAGAGCTTTCTTGCCCAGAGGGCAGCGCCTTCCTGCTGGAGTTGTATTATTTTTTTGCAGAGATGGTGGCAGGGAACGTGCTCCCTGTTTTCACTTCTAAAATGGAAATACGTCAGGACAGAGCACACGTGGGACGTGGGGGCTTTTGAGCGGTTCCTGCAGTGAAGGGGTGTCACCTTCAGCCTGGGCCTCAAAGGAGAGGAGTCAGGCGATGCTGCTGCCCGTGTGGTTGCCAGCGCAGCCGTCCTCTGATTCCTGTGGCTGTTGAGCCAGCTGTAGCTGAGGCAAAAGCGCGGGGATCTCTCAGGCATGAAATCTGTGTGAGTCTGGTGAGAAAAGGGGATTGTGGTAGGAAATCAGCGGTCAGATGTGCTCAGCAGCGAGGAGGGGATGCTGCGGGTGACACAGAGTGCTGCGCGGAGAAGACAGCTCTGGCTTGTCTGATGGCAGCGCCTGGCCTTGCTCTTCCTTCGTGTGGGTGGGCAGGTCAGGCTCCAGGGCCGTCAAACTGGCTCCCAGTTAACACAGGCTCTCTGTGTGCACTCCCACTCACGAGCAGCTCTGGGACGTGCAGCCACTGCCTTCGCCATAACCCCTCTTCTGTCTTTCCAGTCCGTCGGAACATGCTGGACTTTCCCCAGCACGTCTCTCCTTGCAAAGACATCCGTGCGGCGAGCACCGAGGCTGACAAGAAGCTCTCGGAGTTCGACGTGGAGATGAGCATGAGGCAGGATGTGTACCAGAGGATTGTCTGGCTCCAGGTGTGTGCTTGGAGGATGCTCTTTCTGGGCCAACTTTCTGCAACACCTGATCCTGCGGTTCCCTGTGCTCATGGGTTTTGTTTTACAGGAGAAAGCAGAGAGCACTTCACTGAAGCCTGAAGCAAAGAGATACCTAGAGAGGCTGATCAAACTGGGTAAAAGAAACGGTCTCCACCTCCCTGAGGAGACGCAGGAGGTGAGATCACAGAGCTTAACTTAAGCACATGGAGAGGAGGCCTTGCAGGGCAAGCGGGCAGCGTAGCAGAGCAGGGGACAGGCTCAAGCTCCTGAATCTTGCCCCTGATTCCTGTGACTTGGGGCACGTTGGGTAATGTCTCTGTGCCCCTCTTTTTGCCTTTCCGTTGGAGGGGGATGACATTGCCAAAGCGGGGTCGACACAGGGAGTTGAGGGGCTCCCAGCAAGCTGAGATTGCAGACAGTGCTGTGCAGGACAGGAGAGGGAGTAGCAGCCATCCCTGCATGCAAAGGGACGGTCAGGGCAGGTGCCCCCCTGGAGCTGGGGGGGGCTGAGCTGCTTGGGGTCTCCCCCTCTTACGGGCCAGTGGCTCCGTGAAGGAGCTGGAAGCTGGATTAAGCATAGAAGAGAAGGTGAAATGAAAGAAGGGTGGAGGAGGTGGTTGCTTGAACATCTGCAGCTCCTGAGCTGTCAGGAGGCAGCTGGGACCTTGCTGAGGCGGCTGCTTTCCTCCCAGGTGTGATTGAAGGGAGCCTGTTCTGAGCACTCAGCGCCCGCACGCGGTCCATTCTGCAGCGTTGCCTTTGAATGAAAGCCAAGCGCAGATGGCTGGGCAGCTCGGCGGGCTGGAGACGGCGAACGGTGCTGTTTGACTTTCCTCTTGAGGCTGACTTTTCTCTGTTTGTCTGTATTTTAAAGAAAATCAAAGCTATTAAGAAAAAGCTGAGCGTCCTTTGCATAGACTTCAACAAGAACCTCAATGAGGACACCACCTTCTTGCCCTTCTCAAAGGAGGAATTAGGTACGGAGTGCTCGGGCTTATTTCTCTGCTGGTGTGACCCTGAGTGCCCAGATTCCTCTGGCCGAGGAGCCAGAGCCTGTTCCTGTGCCCAGTTGCAGAGCTGGGATTTGCGGAGGGGCCCGGGCTCTCCGTCAGTCCCGTCTGCTCTTTTCTCAGGGGGGCTCCCTGAGGATTTCCTGAACTCCCTGGAGAAGACGGAGGATGGCAAGCTGAAAGTCACCTTGAAATACCCGCACTATTTCCCTCTGCTGAAGAAGTGCTACGTGCCCGAGACGAGGAGGAAGGTGGAGGAAATGTTCAACTCCAGGTGCAAAGAGGTAGGTGGGCCTTGCTGCTGGCCAGCAGGGCCAGGTGGGGTGCCAGCTCTCGTCTGAGGTTGTGTTTCTTTCCACGCTGGGGCTTGTGCTTCCTTTCTTTACCCCACTTCACTCTTTGACTCTGCCTTGCAGGAAAATTGCTTGATCCTCAAGGAGCTGGTGGACTTGCGGGCGCAGAAAGCAAGCCTCCTGGGCTTCAGCACGCACGCGGACTTTGTGCTGGAGATGAACATGGCTAAAAGCAGCAAGACGGTGGCCACGTTCCTGGGTACGGCGCTTGGCTGGGAGGGGATGGGCGCTGGGCCGAGTGTCTTGCTCTCAGCCCCGGGCTCTGACCCTGCCTGCCGTGTTTTCCTAGATGAGCTGGCCCAGAAGCTGAAACCCCTCGGGGAGAAGGAACGGGAGGTGATCCTGGATCTGAAAAAGAAAGAGTGCGAGAAGCGTGGCCTGGAGTTTGACAACCGCATCAATGCCTGGGACATGCGCTATTACATGAACCAGGTGGAGGAGACCAAGTACAGCGTGGACCAGAACCTGCTGAAGGAGTACTTCCCCATGCAGGTGGTCACCACGGGGCTGCTGGCCATCTACCAGGAGCTGCTGGGGCTCACCTTCCACCTGGAGGAGAAGGCTCAGGTCTGGCACGAGGACGTCCAGCTCTACACAGTGAAGGACGCTTCCTCCGGGGAGACGATCGGCAAATTCTACCTGGACCTCTACCCACGGTGAGGCCTTGGGCAAGGCAAAGAGAGGGAAGGGGGCTAGGGCAGGGAGAGCAGAGCCTGCCGCGCACCTGGGGAGGAGGAGAGGCCATCCCACCCACAGACCTCTGGCTGTGCGAAGGGACCGGTGTGTCCCGGCAGCACGGGGTCACCAGGGGCTTCTGCTCTGAGCAGGACTGTGCCACCCCGCATGGTGGCTTGTGGCTGGCCCTGGGGGATGATCCACGTAACGGTCTCCTTCTCCTGCCCCAGGGAAGGGAAGTACGGGCACGCAGCCTGCTTCGGCCTGCAGCCAGGCTGCCTCTTGCCAGACTCCAGCCGGCAGATCTCGGTGGCTGCCATGGTGGCTAACTTCACCAAGCCCACGCCGGATGCACCTTCCCTGCTGCAGCACGACGAAGTGGAGACGTACTTCCACGAATTTGGGCATGTCATGCACCAGCTGTGCTCTCAGGTGAGGCCCGGCCAGGCTGTCAGAGGGTTGGGTTGTTCCCTTTCCCTCGTCGTGCTCCCCAGTGGGGTTAAATGCTGCCCCGCTCTGAGCCTGCCCTGCCTCCCAGGCGGAGTTTGCCATGTTCAGCGGGACACACGTGGAGCGGGACTTTGTCGAGGCACCGTCGCAGATGCTGGAGAACTGGGTGTGGGAGAAGGAGCCGCTGCTGCGCATGTCCAGGCACTACAAAACTGGGAGCCCCATCCCTGACGAGCTGCTGGAGAAGCTCATTAAATCCCGGCAGGCCAACACCGGTGGGTCCCTGCGGAGGGAAACGGGAGCCAGCGAAGAGGGACAGGAGGGGAGCGCGGGCTGTGTGCTGTCCTCGCCGTGGGGAGGAGAGGGGAAGGGGACCCTTAGGGACCTGGCCAGGCAGAGGAGAGGCTTTGTCTTGCTCCCCATGGTGCTGCAGGGACCCAGGAGCTCAGTTTTTCTCTTCCTTCTGGGAACAGGGCTCTTCAACCTGCGTCAGATCGTCCTGGCCAAGGTGGACCAGGCGCTGCACACCCAGACTAAGGCTGACCCCGTGGAGGTGTTTGCCCGGCTGTGTGAAGAGGTGCTGGGCGTCCCGGCCACCCCAGGTACCCGAGCTTGGCTCAGCAGCTTCTTTTCAAGGCTGAGGCTTCCTGCTGGCTCGATGGGGACGGTTTCTGCTGGCTCCAGGAAAAGCAGGGCTGAAACCATACAAAAATAACTGGAAAGTTCTTCCCTGTTTCCCCTGGGATTGTGAACACGCTGACCCAGTGCCTGCTCTGACATTTACAGCACGGAGAGGTTTTTCCATGCTGTGAGCGGTGTCAGCAGCCTTTCCCGCTAACGCCCCTTCCCTTCCTTTGCCACAAAGGTACAAACATGCCCGCCACGTTCGGCCACTTGGCCGGAGGCTACGATGCCCAGTAATACGGGTAACCCTCG